TGATTTCGCTAAAATTAGTAGATGCAAATAATAGTAGGCTTAAGGTAGTATAGTCTGCACAGTGTGTTTTAGGTAACACAAAGATAACATAATAAAATTAATAATACACAATTTATTAATAGACAAGTATATATACACAACTGAGTGTGTTATTATAATCATGTGAGTCTTCAGTTACAAACTTACTAGTTACTAAGTGTCTGCATGTACACACATACACATACACACACTAACACACATACATGTACATCTAAACATGTATAGACATATAAAGGTACATGTAAAGCATGCGAAATTGCTCACACACATACACACACATGTACATGTTACATGTACACATGATGTACATGTCAGTACACACATACACATATTAAAACATATGCACACATATACACACAAATACATGTATGTACACACACAATGTACACAATGTATATAAGATAGAATTTATTTTAAATTCCAGCATTGACACTCTATCAATTGTGAATCCCTCTTTACACACACAGACACATGTACCCCGGTATATTCACACATATTTAGGTAAAGAAACAAACACAAAACACAAAAGACACAAACACACATTCACACTAAAAACAGACACACACGCACATACTGAATACCAGCATTATTTGTCAGTAGTTTTCACTGTGCATCATAATATGTACATGTACATTACAAACCTCATGAGTTACAATTTAGTTAATCACTTTATGTTTCATTATCAAGCATCATAACATAATAGTTACCAGTTCTTTCCATTTTCTTTTGTTAATGTCCAATAACCATGCATCATAGGTAGGATATCCACCCACCACTAGTAAGTGTGGTCCTAAACTAGTGGTAATCAGTACACTGGAATGACCCCATTTTCCCTTAGGCCATTGTACTGATCCTCCAGGATTAGGTACTTCTAATATATCCTGAGAGAATAATAAAATCAATGTAATGAAATATATGATTTATTTATTATTATAGACATTTCGTTGACTGCAGTTTCTCGTGTCAAGCCACATCAATTCAAATTTTGACAAGATAATATGCAATATCAAAAAAAATCTCACAATCAAAACCCATCCTTATACAGTATTAACTCACCACTGATGTCTTATTGAAACTTATCATATACAGTTTATTACTGTCTCCATTATCAGTAATGCCTCCGAACATTACCGCAGTGTAATTAGTAACTGGTGTTAGAGTGAAGCCATTAATAGGAGGTGGTCTGTCTCCAGTAACAACAGGAGATATCCATTGATCTAATAATAATGTACAAACATTCATATACTATAGTTACTGTAAGATCAAAGGCACCACCGGGTGGTCTATTCCGCATATATTATACACCTCCCTCCATAGATACATCACACATGCACACAGAGACACACTAACAAACACACTTAATTATTAACAATCTGTTTTATGTACATTAATATAAATTATTCAGTTTAAAATACTGATCAACTATTGTGTATATGAATGATGAGAATCACTAACCTGATGAAATCCTGTAATAATGTATCTCATTATATCTACCATCAGCTGTATTGATAGAAGAGGATCCAATTCCTCCAATTACTACAAGGTAGTCTTCACTGTCAAAATGAGCTGATACCATTCCACAGCGGGCCTTCTTCATTGGACCATGATCAGAACTAGGAGAGAGTTCCCTCCACTTGAATGAATCCACATTAATACTGTGAACATTGTTTTGATAACCACCACTATATCCACCGAAATAATATATGTCCTTTCCTATTGCAACGGTTGAATAGGCATAGGTACCTGATGGTGGGGTACCAGTAGTAGGTTTCTGGTCCCAAGCACCAGTTGGTAAGTGGTACACATCCATCACATCATAGTCTACTCCAGACCCATGCCCACCCCACATATATAGATAGTCTCCTATCTTTACTGTGGAGTGTCTATTCCTCTTCACTGGTTGATAGTCTATAGAGAACAAGAGGTACCAGTAACAAAGTAACAGTAATATAGTGATGAGTTAGAATAAGGACAGGATACAGAGGAGTAAAGTAAGTGAGAGAGTAAGAGAGACAAAGAATGAATGAAAGAGATACAAAGCCGGAGAAGAGAATAGTGGCCCTCACTTTTAGATGCCATTCTTTGCCAAATATCAGCCCTACCCAAACCATAGATAGTAGAGTATAAAGGAATTGGAAACCACAGGAAGTATTACATTTACTCTATTATCCATGTTACATATATGTAACATGGATACACCCACTCACTGGCATCAGAAGTAATTCTCCCTCAATGAGCCCATACAAGTTCAAACAGGTGGGTCTGGTTTAAGACTAATGTACTCATTACTGTCTATACTTATTAATTGGGTCAGTATATCAAATACTGTCTGTCTGTTTGCATGTACATGTACAAGTACATCACTCCTAATTAAACATAATAATTATTATAGCGTTATTGTTATTATTATTATTAGTATTAGTATTATTATTATTATTAGGGTTCTTAGATTACTTGATATTAAGATAAAGATTTCCACTCTTCAAAGAATTTCAAGTATGCAAGAACACATACACATGGTATTATTGTGCTATATAAACTCTTCCTCTATAGTAATTAATAATTAATTTTTTTAATTCACAAAATTCTACTTCCTTAATAATTAATAATTAATTTTTTAAATTAACAAAATTTTTAAAAATTAAAAAAAAATTAAATTAACCAATAATAAGAAGCCAATGAAGCTCATCTTTCTGACTGCAAATCTATTTTTTTGTCATTGCAATGACTAAGGGCTCAAAGCTTGAAGGCTTTGAGGACTTTGAAGAGAGGAACGATATTGATCAAAGTGAGGTCAATGATGCTTTGTCTCAAAAACCTGCTGCAGATCTCAATACACAAACAAGCAATCAACCAGGTATGGGCCTGTAACACTTATTTTGTTTTATATTACTTCTGAATCAATTATAATGACTCAGATTTTTCATCTGTAGACTGATGGACCCAGAAATTTGAAAATTCAAAAAATAAATGTAGGGACACTCACCTCTGAGGGCAATGTACTCGAGTCCCTTGCACTTGGAAGTGGTTCCATTTCTAAAACTGGTGCATATCTGGCTTATCAACCAGAGTTCAATGGTTATCACAGTACTGGTCTTGGGGCCATATTCCTAAAACCTTGAGAAACTATTCCCATGTGCAAAAAAAGCTTGTCCAATATTTGATAGGTTCACATGAGGATGGATTCCTAAAAGGAAAGGCACTCCTCCAGGCTGCTGATTCTGGTTATGACTTAAATGTGTTTGGTAGCAAAATCAACACCTATGGGATTGCAATTCAAGACTGTAAAAAACTTGATGGAAGCAATGGCTGCCTTCCTCCTTGGTTATCATTGACAAGTGACCATTGTCTGTTACCTGCCAAGGTCTTACCTCTGAATGCAATCATAAGAACAATGAACAATAGTTAGCAGTATATATATAGTTAGAATAGTGTAGGCTCAGTTAGATCTAGATTTTGTAGCCGAGAGAAACTTTTTTGATATGTATGCAGTATGCTACTATATTTTTTGTAAATAAAATTAAAGCTGGTAGAAGAAGCTACTACAATGATGAAAAACACTGCAGTGTGCAAATTTTAGTGCACTGCTAACATAGATACGTAGCATGATAATGATTGATAATAGAATGGATTGATCATTCTATGATCCGGTTTTACATGAGTAGCTCCACCTTACGGCCGTGCCTTCCCCACGTGGCTACTTTAGAGAGCAATGGAATCTTCACCAACTTTCTCTCCTTCTTTCTGGATGAGCTCCGTTAATTTCCTCAGTCTGAGCTCTGAGGAAGTAAAAAGGCTTAGCGTGAAACGTCTCACTAATCCAACAACGTTTGATGGCCTCCTACATCCAAACAATGGTGGTCTTTATGATCAGGCACTGGGTCCTACTGAACCACACGAGTTATGTCTCACGTGTGGCTTAAACTATATACACTGTCCTGGTCACTTTGGTCACATTACTTTACCTCTCCCTGTATTTCATCCAATTTTCTTTATGGATTTTTATCAGATCCTTCAGTCATCATGCCTCTCTTGTCATCGA